GTGCGAATGGGCTCAACGGAATATTCCCGAATCCGGTGCTTCTCAGCATCACCTCCCACGATCTGAATCTCTCGTGCCTCTCCCGCCGGCTTTCTCCCTCCGCCGCCACTATGTCGGCGATCTCCCTCCCGAACCATATCTGCTCCACCGCCAGCCGCTCCCGGCTGTTGGGGGGGAGGGTGGCTTCGAGGGAATCGAACACCGCCGCGTAGTGGTCGACGGCCTCCAGGAACCGCTGCTGGAAGATGGGGTGGTTGTGGTTGGCCTCTCTCTCGGCCACCGTGACAACCCTGGGGGACATGGCTTTGATGCGGTGGAGGAAGAGGGCGAGGCGGTCGCGGTCCCTGAGTAGGCGGTGGAGGTAGTGGACGCAGTTGACGGCGAGGGTTTCGTCGGGGAGGAGGAGCACCGACGAGGCGACGGAGATGGGGTCTTCGCCGGGGAGGAGTATGAGTGGGTGGAACTGGAATCTGAGGCCGAGGGAGTGGGCGAACTTGGCCAGGCGGTCGCCGGTGCGACGGAGGATTTCGAGGTCGGAGCCGGTGCCGGTGATGCGGAGGGTGGGGAGAGGGTAGCGCTCGGCCACCGCCTGCATGAGCGGCGGCCACTGGACGCCGTGCATGATGTCGAAATCGAGGATGTGGATGGCGTGGTGGGCCCCGTCGATGGCTTCCAGTATGGCCTGGTTCGCCGTCAGCTGGCTAAACCTAATGTACGGTGTCACTTGGTTCAACGACAAGTACGAGGATTGAACAAGAGCGTCGTCTCGGCCGGCGATGGTGGTACTGATGATACTGGTGGATGCGGCGGCGGCGGTGGTGTAGCGGGTGAGGCGGAGGGAGAGGGCTCTGGTGAACTGGTGGACTAATCTCTCGGTGGAGTCGCCGTACGGTGAGGAGTTAGATGAGAGGATGGAGATGAGGCGGTGGGCGGCGGAGAGATCGGAGCGGGAGATTAGTTCGGCGCAGCTTATGAGAAGCTGCCGCATCTGAAGTGAGGGTGAGGCGGCGAAATTACTCCGGGGCTGAATCTGGTGGCGGTGGTGGTGGAGATAGGCATTTGGCGGTGAGGAATTGTCTTGATCCGCATCCACATCAACATCCACCTCATGAGAGGAAGAACCCCCAAATGAGCCTAACATATTATTTATTAATTATTTAATTATTTAATTAAATAAATGAAATGCAAAACACCAATGAAGAAGCAGCAAAATGGACCCTCCAAAAGCTATTTACATTAATGCATAATATACATACTCCTAGAGAGAGAGAGAGAGAGAGAGAGAGAGAGAGAGAGTATATAATTTGTGTATATATATGTATATGATGATGATGATGATGTGATGATGGATTGATAGAGCAATGGCAAAAACAAGAGAGAAGAAATTAAAGAGAGTTCACAGTAGAATCCCTTAGCTTCTAACAGTAACCCCTCAACCCTCCTCAATGTGTAGTAAATCTGTAAATGTATATATATACAGAGAGAGAGAGAGAGAGAGAGCGCTACACACCACATATTAATATTAATATTAATAATAATAAGTAGAAAAATAAATTTAACTTTAGGGTTGTGTGTGAAACTTATAAGGTGTGATGGGGTTGATAAAAGGATTAATTTGTTGGTTTTTACACACACACACACACACACACTCAGATACATACACAGAGAGTTAAACTGTGGAGGATATATATAATATATATATGTATAGATTGGGATCAAACAAGAGTCGCCGCCGACATACATTACCGATTGTCTGGTACCAAACAGATTAAATGGAGAATATTTGCCACATTAATTCTATTAACCTAAGTATACATACATATATACATACATATATATATACTCTCTTCACAACTTATATATCAATCATGCAATTAATTAATTCCAAGCATTTTTCTCTACTGCGCACTTGCTATCTGATCTTAATTGTGTTTGAATTGAATGAGTAACCAACCTTATATTCTCATTTGTTATGTAACACTAACTACGCATGTAAGCCGAATCTAAGTCGAGTCGAACGCATGTTTGTTTAAATTTTATCGAACTCGCATGATTATTCGTTGAGATTGGATTTGATAGCAATCGAGTCGAGCTTGAATCGAGCCAAACCACTAAACGTACACAGCTCGAGTAGCTAGCTAGCTTCAATTGTTTTTTGACATACTTCATATGTATTTTTTTTTCTATCGAGCTCGAGTTGAACCGAATTTCGTAACTAATCGAATGGAAATTAAATACATCTCCAGGCTTGGCTCGTTATATCAACAAATCGAGCTCAAACGAGCCTTTTATGAACGGTCTTGAAATCATGAGTAGCTAAGCTAAGCTAGTTTTGTACATGTATCCATAATACAAAGATTGAAAGAATGATCCACATATATATGTAATGACTAATAAGCCAAATTAAAGAGTTTAGATGTCATTTTATGGAATACAAAGATAACTAGCAATGGACAGTTAATAAATTCATCAGTGATCTTGCTATATTTAAATATATCATTCATAAGATCCAATTATCATGTTTTCCAGATATTAATTAGTCCCATTAATTAACCACATGTTCTAGAACATATATAACCTAATTAATTAAATGTATTTCTTTTGACCTATCTTTACCAGAGGCACAATTATATATTTTGGTTTATGTTTTTAATGAAAGAAAGCACCATATGGAGTTTATATATAGAAAAATAAGCTCCATGATATATTAATATAGTAATATTCATATTCATATACCTAGTTTTGATTAATTTATACTTAAATCAATTATTTATATATAACATAGATTAATTAATCAACTCTCCATATATAAATATTGAATATATGAAGGGGTGGGGGGAATAAAGGGTGGTTGTGGGAAGAAGGTTGACAGTTGACACATAGTAGAAAGAACACGCAAAGCCTTAAATGTGTCGAAAGCTACATGCTACATGGTACACTACCTATTTCTTTTTTTTTTTTTTTTTTTCTTTTTTATATAAACATATATATATATATATATATATATATATATATATATATATATATACACACACACAATATACATACATACACACTCGACTTTGTCTTAACACTGACAACCCTCATTTTTCTTTCCCTTGTTTGCCTATTTATATTGGATTCTCTTTTTCTGCCTTTTCTTTTCATCACTCTTGGACGCTCTATTTATTACATTTTCCATTTTTTCTTATTTCTTTTCTTTTTTATTTGACTGTCCTCCCCCACGTGCCCTACACGCAACTGTATACGCCAAATTAAACACACACACACACACACACACACCCTAATTAATTAATTATTCTTTGAATATTCCTATTTAATTTCTTCCACTACATAAATTATTTATCAGAATTCAATTGTTACTAGAATAAAATTATGACACAGATTAATTAATTAATTAATTTAGGATGATATATATATATATAATGCAATTGAGTGATGACATAAATAAAGATGCTCTTGATTTGGTGGTGAGCCCATTTGTGGTAATCTGAAAATAGGATTGCTGGATTCTTTCACATGACACAGATTTTCGTATACCTGCCCACTTTCTCTTTTCAACCCCCCCTTTTTTTTATTTTTTGCAAGAAAATAAATAAATAAAAGAAAATAAATAATAAAAATTAAAGAATCATTTTGGTATCACTATCCACTATCCATGAAATATTAGACTTGGTCAAGCATTGGCTTATTATTTAATTTAGAAAAACTTGGATTCCACTACTTTACGAATATATAACTATTTGCTCGTTAGTCCAAGTAGCTAGGGCTCTAAATATATACATATAAGCTAATTGAGTCTGCTCGGAGAAAAACTCGAGTTCGTGTTCGAGCTTGCTGAAATTTCTAATAAACTCGAATTTGATCAAGCTCACTTTTTTTTAGTTATTTATAAAGTGAAAAAAAGTATTTGATTTTAGAATGTAGTGATCATATCACAATTATTAATTAATTAAGATATGTAAATAAATTTATTGTGACCATGTATATGAATAACGTATACGCGTGCGACAATTTATTCGAGCATTCTTCAAACTAATTCATTTTTATTTTATAATTATCAAAAAACAATTTGTATTATAATTTAGTACTATATATATGTTACAAAAGTAAGTTATAAAGTGGGGTTTTAATATAAAACTACACATATATATATATATATATACATCAGCTGGAATCTGAAGAAATAGTGTGAAGAATTAAAACAGCTGTAGAGTGGATTTGATAGTAGCAAGTAAAACCAGCGTGAAAGAAAACAAGATCAGTTATATATATCGGTCGAATATTGATTAATGCTCTATTGTCACACCACGTTTCGATGCAGCCCGGACTGGACCCGGCCCGACCCGACCCGGAGGTTCTGCAACATGCATGTATGGAATGGCAAGCAAGTCTGGCTGGCTGGCTGGCTTCCCTCGTTTGCCTTTTTGTACAAATTAGGAGTGCAAGAATTGTAAAGCTGATCCATCTTTGCTTTTTTGCTTCACGTGTATTTACTGATTTGACTTGCTTCCACACACACACACACACTCACACAAATATGTGTATATTCAGTGTCCTTTTTTTTTTAAATTTATTATGCTTTTGGAGGCTTCAACAACTATTTTCCTTTTTTTTTTTAGAATTATGTTTAAAAAAGATTATATATCCATGTAAGTTTGTTAAATTGAAATTGTATATGTACGGTTAGTGGAAATATTAATATTAAATGATACATTTTGCCAAAATCTTATTGCCACCCTTGTCAAATATCTCTGTTAGAATTTTTTTAAACATAATATACTAGTTTTTATGAAACAATACTGATAGTGATTATTATTTAATATACAATATGATTTTCTTTTCAATACATATTACCAGTTAAATAAATTATTTATATAATTATCGACCATGGTTTATAAATAGAAAATTATGTATTTAACTTAGGTCGGTTGATGGATGATTATCGACTATGGTTTATAAATAGAAAACGGGATTGTTGTCGGGTAAAACAACCCATAAACATCCCTAATAAATTGTTCCTTTAAAAACACATTAATATTTGATTGGTCTGACTATAATCGAGTTTAAAAATCTTAAATATTAAATCGCATCCGAGATCAAATGCACGTATTTTCGACACAAATTAAAATTACAAAATGCCTGTAACATTCTCTTAAAGAGGCCGGGTGGAAAAGATTACAGACAACCAACATGTGTGAACTATCTAAATTATAAATAAATTAAAAAAAAAAAGTATATATATAGTTTCAACTTTCAAACAAATAAGGCATACAAAAAAAATCTCATATCAGAATCAAGCATCGTTCATTTACTCTCGTTGCTAATCAGACAATTCCCATTTAGGCGAACGTAACCAAGAAATCGAAATAAATGCCTCTTCGAATCACCATTAAAAAGCATATAAACCCCGTCACGTAAATTAATTCACAACCATTTTCTCCAACTAGTGGATCTTTTATCGAACGGCAAAAACCTCGGCAAACTAAGAAGGCTATTAACTCGAGTAATACCTTCTAAAGCCGACCATTCCTCGTCCTCTGCAGTTGATAAACACTCAGCCAAGCTCCGTTTGGATTGCCCAATACTTTTATCAATCGACTTCTCCTCAACAACCGGTACAATCTCATCATCACACTCTTTCATATTATTAACCGTCTCTTGAGGTAATTCTGGGGAGGCCTTGTTCGTAACTTCTTCTTCTTCTGGAACCTTCTTCTCGTTTTCGGGAACATTCCCCACTAATAATACTTCTTCGAGGAATAAACAGACGGCTGCACAGTCATCGTTTTTTGATGTGGGGTACTTGAGCCTCCACGCTCTTGTGGCACAGTCGACGAGTGCTCTGGCGGCGGTCCCACGGCCGGGAGCTGAGGCAACTATGTCCACCGCTTCCTTATTGGACAGTACATCCCACACCTGCTTATTTTATTTAATAATAATACAATATATTTAAAAATGTCCTGCGATTTATAATGGGTATATATATATATATATATATATATATATATATATATATATATATATATATATATATATATATATATATATATGAAGAGAAGTATAGGTGGTACCCCATCAGTGGCGAGAATGACGAATTTGTCCCTATCGGTGATAGAATGGTGATAAACGTCGGGCTTGGAAATTAAACCGAAATCCTTCAGACAGAAATCACCAAAGGCTCTGGCCATGGCCAAGCCAGGCGAGTCACTGTTGGGCAGCCAAACGCGCGCTACTTCTGGTTCGTCTTGCAGGGCGAATACCCGCCCTTTGCATTTCTGGATTCTGGCAGCTTCCCCTGAAATAATTTTTGAGGTTCGGTTATTTACTATGATTTATTTATGACCACTTTTTTTTTTTTTTTCATTGATCATTACTTGGAAGATTAGGTTTCAAGTCCACGGTCAGTTGTACAGCGGTCAAAGTGTTGTCCTTGTCTCGTGTTGCCAGTACCGCTCTCGAGTCGCCCACGTTTCCGATTATGATATCCTCACCCTGGATTATTATTATGTACATAAGATCGTTACGACAATCTAGGAAGATATTAATTCTCGTCCGAGAAGACATGATAGTGTGATAAGGAAGATTAATAAAGACAATTAAGAGATCGTAATTTTCATAGTTCATCACTAGTTACATGCTACAATCTCAGGCCACGCCCTCTTTATCGACAGGTCAACACAACCACCCCCACCACATACACACACACACACACACACGCCCGCCACCAACCGCAAAAGAAAAAAAAAAAAAAAAAAGGGGGATGGTAAGCATAGACTCTCTCTCTCTGTGGCAACTCCGTTAATATGAGACTGTACCAAGTTTCTGATATTATTATGCACAAATCATAAATCAATAGAAGAATATCAAGTTCACTTACCAAATATCCATCTTGCATAATTTAGTTGATGATTGAACCATAAATTAATTCATTTAGTTACTCTAATTCATCTATTTCTCAATTTTTTTTTCCCCTTTTGAAGTCGCCTATATATGCGCTCGGACTTGTCAGTAGATTGCCTAAGATCACAAAACAAGTACTTAAATATGAATTACACCCAAAACCACGGCAAAATCGTATTAGTGAATACTAATAACATAAGAACTATATTAAAGTACCTGCTTTATCAGAGCCACGGCAGTTGAGCCGCTACAAAAGCAATCGATCGTAGGGTGCAACTTGAGTTCCTTATCCATCAACTTGAAAGCCTTGAGTATCGATTTCTTTAGCGGGATATGAACTTCCGGAACTTTCTCCGCCTCGTCAGCTTCAACTTCAAGCGACTCGCATCCATCCTCATCCATGAAATCGTCGAACCGCCTCATCCCTTCCAAATCTCCGTTCTCACTGTGCTCGTGGTTTTCCTCTGCTTCGTCCTTGTTTTCCCAATGCGATCGTATTAGAATCGGAAGCGAATCCCGCACTTTTCTCGCAACCATGTGGCCGTACGGGCCGTGGCCATCGAATACTCCGCAAAACGTCGCGTTTAAATCGCCTCCCATATAGAAATTCTACCGTGATAAAAAAATACACAATAAAATCAAAAATTGTTCTTTCAATTAGTACCTAATTGTGACCTAAAACCACTAAATTGGTTCAAATTTTCAATTAAATTAAATAATTAATGAATTTCCAGACGGAAAAATCGGGATCGAAGAGATTAATTAACTGACCTCCCAGAAGATCATGGCGTCTTGATTGGTTCCTTTCTTGCCCTGCTGAGTGTACAAGCTGGCGATTCGACTCGCTCCGTTTGAAAACAGCCGCCCTGGGATTTGGTGGAGTCCCCGCTCTTCCGACACTATGGCGGCGGATGCTGCTGCTGCTCCGCCGCCGCCGCCGCTTAGCTTGCTAATAAAAGTGGCGAAGTCGCCGGAGCTGGTCTTCTTAAACTTGGAATCTGCTGCTTTATCGTCTCCGCCCTCCCATCCCGGCTTCCTCTTCCCACTGGAGGAATAACAAATACCCATTTTACCCCTAACCCTCAAATTCTCAGACCAGTTCAAAAAATACCAACAAAAAACATGCAATTTCGTCAAACTGAAAACACAATTAAAATTAAAAACAGCAGAAACAGAGAAATACGGATGAGAGAGAGAGAGAGAGAGAGAGAGAGAGAGAGAGAGAGAAAGCAAGATTCTGGTGAGTGAGGTGTGAGTAGGTGTGGGTTTTATGACTTTTTTTTCTTTTCTTTTTTAATTTGGGGGTGTGAACAAATTAATATTTTAATGTTGATTTATTTCCCGTTCGGGGAAAAAAATGTAATGCATAGGATACTGTTGTCTGAAATTTGAAACTTGAGTGAGCTGTACTTGATCATGGTTAACGAAAGTTGGACGGAGGTCAACGTGGCAACACGTGCGAGGCTTTGGAAACTCGGATATTTATTTATTTATTTGATTAATTTTAACGGTTGTTGTGTACTTTACTTGTTTAATTTTAAACGGCCGTTATGGTTCAGCCGTTGCTTTCTATATCCCCACTCTTCAATTATCAAAGCCTTCCACTATGGCAAATATGTCAAAATCTTTGAACTACCTATGTATTTATTTATTAAAAAAACAAATTAATTTATTTTGAACTACCTTTTATTAGTTTCTTTATTATAGTAGTATTAAATGTCAACACCAAACTATCTAAACAATATTGTAGTTAATATTTCGATCAATTTGGTTATTTTTAGATGCAATAATTATATGGCTCAATTATAATTTACAATTTATTTGGCACGGAGGTAGTATATTTTATATTTTATGCATTAAAAAAAATGGATGAAATGAATAGGGGGTTTAGTAATGAGTAGAGGTGGGCATTGAATTTGAGCATAAAATTTCCTAAAGAAAATAAATAAAATAATAACCATCATTTATTTGCCACCTCCGGAAATCATTGACCTTAATAAATGGTTCCATCACTTGGGAGAAAAAAAAGAAGTTGTTTTCCATTGAATTACATTATGCAGTAGACATACTAATTAAGGATGTTAGTAAATTCATTTATTTTTTTATAGAAAAAATAGAAGGAAAAAAAAAAAGGTATTATTATTAATATGTTTGGATGGGGTGACAATCAGAAGAGATTCAGCAAATAAAATTAAGAAGAAAGCAGCTCAAGAGCTAAAGCCAACACAGTACATTAGCATTAGCATTAGCATTAGCCGCCCCCAGCTTTTGCTCCAACCAATCAACACCAATCAATTATATTTTGCATGGGAATTTGTTTATGATTGTTCTTCAAAGTGTTATAACTACTTTCACAAATTTGAAATCAATTTATTTCTCTATTTATAAGCTACTAAAACCTATACATATAAGTGATTTTAATTAATTACTATGATTAATTAAACCCACAAGTACTCAATGCAACCCACTACAAAACAAACCGTATTAATTACTAATTCACCCCTGCCCTCTCTCTCTCTCTCTCTCTCTCTCTCTCTCTCTCTCTCTAGTTTCTCTCTCTGCATGTCAGCTAAGATCAGATGCTTGGCTGGTTCCCAAGAATAGGAACGATTCGTCACAGCTTCTGACTCATCTCTGAGAACTAAACAAAGAGCCTATAAACAATCCAAATTTTAAGATTCCCCCACATACAAAATCTATCATAATTACTTAATTTATCTTAAATTTAGAAACTTCAAAACATATTGCACCACATAATTATCCAAATTAAGAAAATGAATTATTAAAAGGCAAAGCAAAATTATATATGTATGTTATATGTATATGATTGAATAAATTTCATTTATTAAAAGGGTGTCTCCATAAATAAAAAATAAAAATAAGTGGGCATGATTAATTTAGCTCTGCCAAAACCACTGTTACGTTGGGACCTATCAATCACGAGAGTTTACTTGAATATATAAGTGTTCGAACCACAGGAAATTTGTGTAGATTTTATTTAGATGATCTCAAATACTCAGCAGAATCCTTTGTAATATATATATATGTTAACGTCTAGTTGATAAATTAAATGGACAGCGGCCCACAGTTGGGCTCCAATCGAATTATTGGTACCTAAAATTTTAATTGAATGGAGTAATGTATATATCACAAGTCCCATTTCAACAAAATCCCCCTTACCCCTCATTCTTCGAGAAGGTCCTTTTCAAGTTTGAATTTGCTCGTTCCAAATCTTACTTACATAGTTCTTCTAATTCATTCTTTTCTTTTTCTTTTTAATATTAATTTCTTTCTACCATATTATCATTTAAGTTTCGATCGTCTAGAATTTGACTATTGAACAAAGGGTACCACGATAAGATGAGTCTCATAAAACATCGGACGAATATTTTATACTCATCCCCGACACATTCAAAACCTACATACGTACTAGTCCCGCTTAAATACCAGTAATTTTTTATTTTTTTACATAATATAAATATTATAACACTTCAGAGTTAATATTTTTATGGTATAAAACTATAAATGTAGATCAAAGTTAATAAAATATTATATTATTATGGTGGGTCGGGTACTTAGTGGGCCAAGGCCCATTTAAGCCCAAATGGAAATCTACACAAACTGCGGCACGTGCGATAGCTAGAGCCTAGTGAGGAAGATGAAGAGCAGTACCTTCACACGCGCCTCCCTCTCCTCCATACTGCAACCCGCCTTCTCGCCCCGCCCAATTTCGGGTCGACCCATCACCTGCTCCGCCGTCGCACCGAAACCCCAGACCCCACTCCACCTCCGTCCGCCGTCGTTCCGCGCCACCCTCTCGGAGCTCCAAAAATGGCACATTTGGGCCAAAAACAAAGCCTCCTCGGTGGGGTCCACATTCCTGGACCTGGACAACGGCCCGGAATCCACGCTCCTCCACAGGGAGCTCAACTGGCTCGTCGAAGACGCGCTGGAGCAACCCGCCCTCCTTTCCCGGAACAATTACGACGATGCCACTCCCGTTTCGGTAAGGGCGCGTTTGGACGATCTGTACGATTTGTGGAAGCAGAGGATCGACGAGAGAAGGCCGTTTCAGTACGTGGTGGGGTGCGAGCACTGGAGGGATTTAGTACTCAGCGTTGAGGAAGGGGTTTTGATACCCAGACCCGAAACCGAGATGATTTTGGATCTGGTCGAGGAATCTGTGACTCAAAATGCCGGGTTGAAAAATGGGTTGTGGGCTGATTTGGGTACCGGAAGTGGGGCCCTTGCTATTGGGGTCGCCCGGGTCATCGGGTCGGGTCGTGGGAGAGTGGTTGCTTCCGACTTGAGCCCTATTGCTGTTGCCGTTGCATCGTATAACGTGCGGAGGTATAATTTGCAGGTTAGCTCTCCGCTTCGTGTTTGGGTTTTTCTCTCTCTGATTCAAGAAACATGTAAGTAATGTATGTATGTAAAACAGGAGAGAGTTGATGTACGGTTAGGATCTTGGTTCGAACCTCTGAATGACGTTAATGAGGAACTCTCCGGACTCGTAAGCAATCCGCCGTATATTCCGACTGAAAATATCGAAGGGCTACAAGCCGAAGTTTGTAAACACGAACCAAGACTTGCTCTCGATGGTGGAGAAAATGGCATGAGTGACCTTATCCATCTCTGTAATGGTGCTGCTTCGATGTTAAGACCTGGTGGATTTTTTGCATTTGAGGTAATGAATATCGTTCGTTCTTTCTTGATCCGATAAATATAATAATAGGTGTATCCATCGGCTATGCTCAATCGTCTCTAATCTTATTCATGTTCTTGTGGTGCAGACAAATGGTGAAGTACAGAGTGAACTTCTAGTTGATTACATGGATAGTAAGGTGAAAGGAAGCTTCTTCGACGTAAATATTGCGTCTGATTTTGCTGGGATCCGAAGATTTGTGACTGGATATCGAGCATGAGTTTTTGCGGTCGATGATAGTTTTAGGTAGAAAATAGACGTCAAATCGAATATTTACCAAATTGTTTTGCATGAATTCAGAAATTGAAAAGTGTGGTTGTACATTTGTTGAAACTGCAAAACATGAATGAGATGGAAAAAAAAAACTTGCCCTAATTTCACTGCATTTGCTTGCTTTGAACCATACGAAGAATTACACACATGTATCATATGTGATTATTAATCAATCACTGTCTCGACGCCAAAAATCAATACAAATAGCAGGGGGGAAAAAACACTTCTTTTTTCGCTCGTTTTATTGCATCTGCTTAAGTGATTAAAGGTACGCTGACAGAATCAGTTTCGTTGTAAACTGATCTGCAGCAGAGGAAAACTACATCAAGAATCCGAAACTTATTTACAGAACAGTCGTGTAAGACCAAGTAGATTTCACATACCTTTCACTAACCCTCTCGCAATCTATCACCCAATCGAGAAATTTACGGTGGATAATAAGCTATCGGTTTTTTCAGTGATCTCATCATCAGTTAACTCATGTGTGTTTCAGTGGAGAAGAAAAAGGAGAGGTTTTCATGCCAATAAATATCGTAAAACTTGGAGAAAAAAAAAATGTGTTTCTTCTACTATGATGCTCTTCGCCATTGATTTTTACCCTTTTTCTGAGGCAGTTTGAAGGGGCTCCAGCTTTTTCTCCTCTTTGAAGTTTCGCAAAAAAGTCCGGACGCAAGTGCTTGTTGGAGCCATAATTCAAATTCATCCTCTTCTTCCATCATCTCAGCATCCAAATCCCATGGATAACGGCTCGAGTTTGACCTTTGGGTTGACTTTTCTAATCCGACCATGTTTACATGGAAACTCGGTCTGTGTGTGTTTGGTCTGCACGCCATTCCCTATATACACAAGAAAAATCAAATTGGTGGTTTGATGGGAATATTCAACTTCGTTAAATTACAGTTAAGTGCGAAAGCAAGAAAGTGTAAAGAACAGACTAACCTGGCATATAGCCCACTCTGACACATCGAAAATCTTGCTTTCAGCGCAGACAAAAGCCCGAGGGATTTCTACCTATACGTGACCAACATAACAATTTCAACTAATTAATTAGATTAGAAAAGAGAAAAAAGACTTGCATGCGAGAAAGTAACGTATTTAATTAAATATTTGCATCAAGAAGTTTGTGGTACAAGAAGTACACCTTTTGAGGCCGGTCAAACACCAATGAGCCTTTGTACTCTACCCATCCATCGCCATCCTTTGCTTGATGATACTGACAGCAATCCTGTAGTCAGAAAATCACAATCAGTTTACATACCCTTTTTTTTTTTTACAATCAGTTGATATGCATGACAAGCAAAAAGCCGAAGAAATTCGACACTTTATTTAAGAGGGTAATCAAACCTGACACCATCTTGCTTTGGCCTTGGTTCTGTTTGTGCAAACCCAGATATGAGAATTGCCACACTTTGTGCACTGTATTCTCCTCGACTCCTCAGAGCAAAAGTCAGCAGTACTCTGTACCACGAATACATAAATGATTTTTTATCGTCTGAATTCATTTCTTAAAACCAATATTTGTAATAATATCATGCCCTCAATTTTGGCAAAATTGATGAAATGGCATATCGTGTACTTTACCTGACAAGAAGTGCTAGCTGATCTCTGCATAACACACTTGGATTCTTCTTTCCTCAGCTGCTCATCATAATCCCTTTTCTTCACGGCATCAGAGAGGACCTGGTTTTAATGCAAACAAGAACAATCTTGGAATCTATACCTTTAATCTATTTTAGGTATTTATTTAACCATTTAAATAAAAAAAGAAAAATACTTACCTCGTATGCACATTGGAGTTTCTTAAATGATTCACTTGCCAGTGGACTTCCCATATTCTTGTCAGGGTGCACAAGCATGGCCTGGAAAATGCAAAGATTGCTGTTTATAAAGAAGAAATACTCGAACATAGTACATAGTATTTACCGACATTTCAAACTCACAACCAGACATATGGCAAAGTCAAATTAGAGTGAGGGATGTAAAACATAAGCACACGTATACTGAAAAAAATTAGCTATTATTTATTTACTTCAGTATAAAGTGTAGATAAAACCCAAACGAACCTTGCTTGACATTAGCTATATTTGGATATTTGGATTCTTTTTTCGCTAGCACGCATACATACAAGGTAATTAAACGTTAGCATTTGCAAAAATTAAACCATCACACCTTTTTATGGTATTCCTTCTTCAATAACACAACATCGATCTTCTTTTGGGGTGGAAATCCAAGGGCCTCGTAGTGATTTCCACAACTTAAAATCCTTTCCATCTCAACTGTGGAACTTGCAACCACCTTCTGAACAGCAAATTCTTTCGGCGTTTCAAGAAAAGAAGGAATAGCAGGCTTGCTCGCTAATTTACACGAATGCAACTTCTCTTCTTCTTCTCCTTCTACTTCACTAGGGGCAGAATAGTCACACCCAGTTGAGAAACCACCTTCTGCAAACGAATCGGATTCTTTACGCTCCTCAAAGTGAGCACTCTCACTCAAATTATCACACCATTTGATCAAGTAGTTCAATACGTCGTTCGATAGGAAGGCAAGGTTAATAGCGAGACCAACTCCAAGCCAACCTACTCGAACTTTGACAGAATACATAGCGTATAGGGTTGCCATAAGCACCACCAGCCTCGCATGATTTAATGAAAATAAATAACCTGCAGTTACCGAAATATGCTAGTATTTAAATGTGTCTTATTAAAATAATCATCGCATGGCATCTTCATGAAGCAAAAGCAACAATATCACAAAATCATTTCTAATCTATCCCCTATATTCAAAATGTCTCGTCCAAGGAAATTTGAAATGGAATAGTTAAAAGTGAAAAAGAAAAGCATATAATGCCAGCGTAAAACGAGTTGAAAATAAATTAAGGGAATCAGGGCGTACCACCAACTATAAATAAGGTACCAGTTATCCAAAAGTTAGCATACATCCACAAAACCAAAATGGCAAAAAGCCCCACAATGAAAAGTCCCGGAGTGTAGCCTAAATACTGAACAGCAACCCCAGCTGCTCCCTGGAAAATACATTTGCAACAACGAGTGAGTTAAAACAATTACTGTTAAAGAAAGTTACTATCACTTCTAGTAATTGCTCGAGATAATTTCTCTTATAATTTACAGATTCATTTTAAACCACATATTGCCATACGATATCCAAAAATCATATTCACATCTCGGCATCGTTATTATCAGATCGAGAGCATGAATATCAAGAACAGCCTATTCAAGAAGTTATAACATCAGCGAATCTTGGATTCCCAAAAAACAACTATCGAACAAATGATCAGCATAAAATTAAATGCTACAATGAAAATTAGGAAGACCGAGACACATACCATACTAAGAAGCACGTATAGAAGACACAACATCGATGTCAAGCTGAGGAAGCAGCTCCACATAATGACGAGCAGAGCAGCTGATCCAAGCCCAATAAATGACTTCAATCCAGAAATAGAACAGTTTTTCCAGTAAACCAACAAGAACAGCAAACCCTTCCCGAATTTCGCACACCCACAACAAACCATCGGCCAATGCCGATCCATGAAAATACCAATCTTGTCCCTTAAACAGCTCGTGCTATTCCTCACTACAGAATAAGAGTCCTTTGATTGCAACCATTTCAACCCTTGATTGAAAAGACCAATATCCTCCATAACCTAACACCTCGAAATCTCGGCTAATAAAGAGTAAATTTAACTGCAACGATTGAATTCGACACAGATATGCTTGACCTGTTGCCCATGCTTCGGAATCCTGCTAACAATGCCCTCTAAATAGAGCTGCAATAAGTTTATATCCCCAAATATGCAATGATATTGTGCCGCATAATCCTATTATTTACTGAATAAGACTTGAATCTGACTCAAAATTCGACTATTTTAAAACACGAAGAGCGATCTTAATTGTGAATCCAGAGAGCCTGGGCAAACGCAAGTCGCAATGAGTAAGAGCAAAAGAGATCCAGAATATTCTTTCTCCACACAGTTAAAAAGCTGGGATTCATGAACTTCATCAGTCAGTAAAAACAAAAAACTGAACTAAAAACTATAAATTGCTTCACATGTACGTCTCCAGAAAAGCAAGCCCCCATAAATAAACTCACAGCATTTTCACTTTTTTGACCCGAACAATCCCCCAATAAAGAAGCTGCCCGCGAAATTCCTAACGAAATGCGCCAACACAAATGCAGAAAAAAATACCAAAAAAAAATAAAAATTTAACCCCACCCACCGAATTAGACGAAGAGAAATTTCAAAGAGAGAAACAAAATTTAGCGCGGAGGTAATCAGAAGAGAGCAATTTCAGAAGGAAAAATGTGGATGAATTCCTCATAATATTCGATTAATGGAAGAAAAAGTGGGAGCCCTAGGCTTTTTCGCACTTTTTCAGGGAATGCCTGTGAAGAAGAAAGTAAAAGGAAGAGGTTAAAAAAGTTTCAAAAAGGAGAGTCATGAGAGAGTGAGACAAGCAGTGATGATGAGAGAGAAACCAAGAGCCTTTTTTTATTTTTTATTTATATTTATTTGATGAGAGAGAAAGAGAATTTATTTAATCTTAGTTTTTATGTGTGTGGGATTTAGGGTTAACTCGGAAAGTAGTAGTAATGCATTTGTTTATGTGGGACCCATTTAATCTTAATTTCTACGATTTTTTGACAAGTCTTACTTTTTTTTCATCTTATGACCAATGTTGTTAATTATTGGATTTATTGTTGGATATATAAGAATACTTTTTTTTCCAATGAGGCAAGTTACTATTTCTGTAATCTTAAAAATTCTTTACAAGTGTGCATAAACTAGACTTATATTATATTGAGAATATATATATATATATATATATATATATATATATATATATATATATATATATAAATTAACAGAGATTTGCAAAATTGCTGGCTCTGCTGCTGGATAAGATGATGTAAACACGATAAGTTAATCATATGTGATAAGTTTCACTTATCGACCGTTGATAACATGATTCGAACTTAAATCGATTGACACAAGTTAACTTACTCCAACTGCTAGAATATCTCTTGTGGGACTTTGTTCAAATCATTTTGACTACGTCATTCACATTTTTTTATCAATAAAAAAAATTAAAACCAAGTCCACCTTATAAAGCAAAGTTTTTAGAAAATGATTAAATAAATTAAAACAGATATATAGGGTCTTAAAATGAATACAAAAAGACTTTATATATAATATATACACATTAAATTGAAGCCACATTTTCCAAAAAAATAACATTGGAAGTTGGAAGAAGGCTTAAACGGGAAGATAATAAAAATACGTGGGGAAAGCATCGACTTTGAATCAGCCCCATCTCTGACATTTAATCAAGTAACTTCTAAGTCTCAACAATATATTTAATTTAATTAAATTATACTCCCTCCGTTCCCTTATAATTGTCGTTTTTAGCTTGTGCACAAGGATTAAGGATTTCAATAAATGTTGCGTAATTTTAGAAAAATATATGTTCTTATACTAAAATGCCCTTGCCAATAATTAATGTGAGAGAATGTTGGAGATAGTTAATAAGGGTAAAATTGATAATTACACAATTAATGCAGTGTTGGAAATGTAAAGTGACAGATAATATGGAACAAAAACAATTTAAAAAAGAAACAATTATTGTGGAACAGAGGGAGTATTTCGTAAATTAAGGAAATAAATTAAAAAAGGTGCAAGTGCCACATTTAATAATATAGTAGTACATTTTAGGGAATATACTTAATTAGTGAAGTAAACAAACAGTTTATTTATTTTTCTTAATTACTAATGATTAACCCCTAATAATATACTTAGCTTTTAATTATTTGGTTATCAACAGGCTATTTGAATTTGTCGTGTATCAATTATAGTACAAAAAAACAAGGGCCGTCCCGATTTGTTCGACCCTACACCCGGTGTTTTTCACCGGGTGTAGGGTCGAAGGAACCGGGCCGTACATCGTATGATAGATTGGATGTTTTGTTACTTTAAACATATTCTTATGTTTCAGTAAATTAACTACACAAAAAAAAAATTAATAAGGAAAAAAAGAATTATAGGGAGTTTATTAAATAAGCAAATAGAAAATTGAACATACACAAATTTAATAAGAATTCATTATTCATTTGATCTACATTTACATAACTATTTTTTTTTCTCTCTCTATATAAATATTAAATGATGCAGTAAAACAATTTAGACAAGCCAACCAAAAATCACACAAAAAATTATCTATACATATATATATTTTTCGTTTCTATAAAAAAAAAATCGTCTCAATTCACGGCGGATAATTAACTATACGTACAATCTTTCACATGCTCTTATCGTAAACAGCGGTAAATGTCATGGTAGCCTGAGAAGACGAAGCAGAGGTCAATGTAGTATTCTCCAAAGAATCCGAGCCCGAAGAGTTGAAATTGGAAGACATGTTGTTATTAATCCCGTGCCTCGGTTTGGGATCGTTTTTAATCTTCAAATCCATGAAATCGGAAATTAATCCCGGTTTTGTAATTGTGGCTTCGTCAATATCTTTTTCGCCAGTAAGCATTCGGACAACACTTGACATGGATGGCCGAAGCTTCGGAGCGTCCTGAGTGCAGAGCAGACCAATCTTTAAGAATCTGCAAGCCCGTTCACCGTCGAAATCTCCGTTCAGAGATGTGTCTACGAGTGCTACAAGCGCGTTTTTCTCGTATAGATGCCATGTCTGCAGAATAAAGAAATAAAATAATTAAATATATTGATTAAAAGAACCAAGTCATTCTCAACTCTACTTTGTGAGTGGTTTTTTTTCGAAGTGAAAATGCATGCATACCCTTTCGAGAATATATTGTTCGTCTATGGGTAATCGGGTATTGGTATTGCATCTCCCACTGACTATTTCGATCAGAAGAACACCGAAACTGTAAATGTCAGCTCGTCGTGTGAGCTGGCCCCTTATTGCGTACTCTGGTGCTAAATAACCTCTGCAAGAATCGACAAATATATTCAAGTTCATATTACACGTACATACCTTTTGACATTAAAAAAAAAATAAAAAAAAATAACATATTAAGTCACTTAGTCGGGGGTTTAAACTAGAAATTCTCAATGACGTTCATTCCAGCAGAGTTTATTACGACTTACATTGTTCCCGCAACACGTGTGCTGACATGAGTCATGTTCGGAGGCATGAGTTTGGCCAGGCCGAAATCCGATATTTTGGGCGTCAAATCTCTGTCGAGAAGAATATTGCTTGCTTTGATATCTCGGTGGACGATATGCGGTACCACTTGCTCGTGTAGATAAGCAAGCCCTCTCGCAACTCCTATGCAAATCTTAACTCGTGTTTGCCAGCTAAAGTATATACTGCTGTGACCTCCACCTGTACAATTACAAAAATCATCAAAATCTCATAACTTCACAAATAATCGAAAATATATATTCATTTATTTATTTTGGAGATTAAAAATACGGCGAGAGGCACGCGTACCAAGAAGGGTTCGTGCGAGACTGTTGTTCTCAAGGTAGTTGTAGACGAGAATCCGTTGATTGGCTTCCACACAACAACCGTAGAGCTTCACTAAATTCTCGTGCTCGATATCTGAAATGATTTGAATTTCTGTCAAGAATTCTCGTACGCCTTGTCTTGACTCAGCTGAGAGAACCTTAATCGCAGCCATCTGCCCGTTCCGAAGTTTACCCTGATTATATTCAACATAATTTTGTCAGAAAAATCTGACTTACGCTCTAAAATATTTATATATATACATACAAATTAGGCTAAATTTACCTTATAGACAGAACCAAATCCGCCCTCCCCGATTTTGTTCGCCGGACTAAAATCATTGGTCGCGATTTTCAGCTCCTTGTAAGTGTAAAGAGTAACATTGTCCACTCCCGTAAGCTCTGTACACAATTCAGCTTCGTTATTACCAGTCAGACGAAATACCAACGTACAAAAGTACAAACCTAAATAATATAATACAAGAAAGATTAAAAAAGAAGTCATTCGATAAATTCGATTTTGGAGGTTTACCATTGGATAAATTCGATCTTCTACCGCATAAGAAAGATAGGCAGGTCATAACTCTCTACGGAATTTGACCAATGACTTCACCCTGCTATAAGCTTGGGTAGATAACGTCGAAAGGAACAGAATTTCCAAACTGCCATTGGCGAAAAACAAAAAACCGATCACAATTAACTCAAAGGACGATAAAATGTAGCCAATAAATTAGCAGCCGGAAAACGTAGCATAAACAAAACCGTAAATAGACATGCATATTGTGTAGCTGAACTTGAAGACTGGAAATTAATTTGCCTGCAAAACTGATTTCTCAACCTAGAGAGAGAGAGAGAGAGAGAGAGAGAGGAGAGAGAGAGAGAGAGAGAGAGAGAGAGAGAGAGAGAGAGACTACAAATTATTAGTTAAATACCACTTATTAACTAACACTCCTCACTTCATTGAAGGGATAAACACGAATCAAAAGCAGCAGAGTTTCTTAACAACTAAGGTTATTATAAATCATACATAAAACAGATAAGATTTCGAAGAACCAGGTATTAAATCTCCAATAGTTGAAACGAAAAATCGAAACAAACTAACAGATAGAAGTGATTGATACAGCATAATTCAAAGAAAATCCCAGCTGAGATAAAAAGAAAAAGAGAAAAAAAAAAAAAGCACCTGAAAAACCTCGGTAAAACAAAAGTCCCAAAATTTTCGGACAGAAGAGAAATCTCCAACACCTGAATTTCAGACAAATTGATCATGCGGCGGAGAAGCAGAATACATAGAACAAATAAAAAGTAGGGTTTGGACTAATAATAAATCTTAATAAGAAAGTCCAACGAGAGATGCGTAAGATCTTGGCAGCTACAAATGTCAAGATGGTGAGGTCAAATTATTTTGAGTACATACTTACGGCTAATTAAACACGGTCATAATTATTAATTTTATATTTATTTAATATGCAAAAAACAAGTACAAATTGAAAAAATAAAAAACCAAAAAAAAAAAAAAAATATTTGCATACCAGACGAGACTTTGAGCCTTGAGGGTGTTGACAATTGAAAAGTAGGAGGAAGAAGAAGGAATAATTGAGGAAAAAGCAGGTGGCGCGTATAAGTCAACCATGGCGTACAGTCCTTCTTCCTAATTCTGGTGTGTGGGAACACTATTATTTTTTTCATATATTAACAACTCCATCATTATTGTAGACTATTGTTCTAATATTATTATGACTTTAATACAATTTCTCATCTATCCTTTTTCACATTACCCCCTTTTTTTTCATTTTAGCGATTTTATTTTCACGAACAATTGTGTACCGGGCCAAAACCTCGATCCGATAAACGTCTCTCGTGTGATTGGCGCAAGGTGATTTCTTGGTTTATTACACACCAAGAAATGTAGGAATGTTTTCTAAATTCAATTTGGTTGAGTATATATGATATGATTAATTAAATAACTAAACCTTATCCGGTCAGGATTCTCCGGGCCGACCATAATTGAGTCGATGGTTTAATGGGAAATTAAAGGTCAAGAAGTGGTTTTATCCGTTGTCGGAAGTGTCGAAGATTAGCTTTTCTTACAATTATGGACCATGGATTTTGCTTTTCCATAATATACTCTCCTCCAACTGTTACATAGTTCATGAATAAATTTCGATCTCTTCCAAAAATTTAGATGGCTGTTAATGCAAAATCGCAAACCATCTTTTGCAATAATCTTCCCAAGAGACAAAAAGAAGAAGGGCTTAATCGTCATTTCATTGCATTTCTTGGAACATATCTTCGCTATCGGTTTGGGGAGCTGAAGGCTTCGCATAAGAACCTCCATTTCCGATGCCCTCTGTCACAGCAGCTCTTACTTTCTGCACAAATTCTCGAAAATGCCACTATCATAAATTTCATTCCTCACATATATAAACTACAACACACAAACGAAAACTCGCGAAATTTTGCGTTTCAATATAGTCGCCATCGAAACGTGACTATGCATTGCTCTTACTGCAAATTGCAGTATATGCAATAACTAACTGAACGTAAGCTATTTTACCACGGTGAGTTTTTTTCCTTTTTTTTTTCCTTTTTTTTTTTGTAGCCTATGGAAAATTGACTTCACTTTTATTTTAGGGCAAATTACGCCTGAGGCCAGCTCAAATTACAAACAAACCCCTCAACTATGTATTGTCTTACGAAAAAACCCCTCGACTATGTATTGTCTTACGAAAAAAACCCTCCACAATGTATTGTCTTACCAAAAAACCCCTCCCTCAGTAGGTAAAATTGACACCGTAAGAGTGGACGCGTAAAACAATACATAGTTGGTGGAACATGTGGGGTATTTTCGCAATTTGAGCATACCTCGGGGGTGGCGTAATTGCCCTTTATTTCAATGAGGTGTGTATGTAGTTGATAGGAAAGGGAGTACATTATTACCTTCTCTATTTCTTCGGACACAAGAGGGTTTTCTTTGAGGTACTGCAATGCTCTGTCTCTTCCTTGTCCCAACCTACATATTCACATCAAGTACACAGATAAAACCTGATTACGTTTCCACATTGTAAATTACTTCAAACAAAAAAAGATCGATAAATGAAACCTGTGTTCTCCATAGCTATACCACGACCCCTTCTTTAAGACAACGTCGGTCATTTCACCACAATCCAATACACAACCCTAAAGATGAAGTTAGAAAAGAAAAATCAATACAGAGTCTTCGAGTTAGCAGATAGCAACTGCGAGACCGAAAAAATAATGTACAAACCAGTTTGCTGATTCCCTCTCCGAATATAATTTCAAACTCGGCTTGCTTGTACGGCCTTGACACCTGTAATAAAACTAATTACTTCATATAACTACTTTGGCATCTCAAACTTTCGAGATAGAGTACACAGCAAATAGTATGTAAATTTTGACCAAGTGTCAAAACTCGTATTCTCGTGCCACTTACCTTACTCTTTTGAACTCTTACGCGGACTTTGAGTCCAATATCTTCATCTCCTTTAACCTATGAAAACACACCATATTAAGTAATTTATGATAAGCAAATAGAACAGGCTTAACTTATTGCTAAATTTTATCAGATTTCGGCTTACAGATTTTATCTTCCCAGTAGGACGTATTTCAAGTCGGACAGATGCAAAGAACTTCAAAGCAATTCCACCACTCGTGACTTCAGGGTTTCCATAATATACTCCTATCTAGCTTAGACAAAGTCATATAGTATCATCAATAAACTTCAAACGAAAAACAAACAAATAAAATGAATAAAAAAAAATCATAAATTATTTAAGTAGACATGAGCAATTGTCTCTGGATTAGGTAAGTTACCTTGTGTCTAATTTGATTCAAAAATATAAGCGTACATCCAGCTTTGGAAGCATTCCCTGACATTTTACGCAAGGCTTGGCTCATAAGGCGTGCTTGCAAACCCATTTGTTGCATCCCGATTTCACCCTATGCCAGCGTACGTAAACACAAAATATTCACAAATTTGAAATAAATCAATTTCGATTTTTTTTCAAATGCAGAAAGTATGCAACTTACTTCAATTTCAGCTCGTGGAGTAAGGGCCGAGACTGAATCAATGCAAATGAGATCAACAGCACCGGATCTACAAATGCGATCAGCAACTGACACATAGAATACAAAAGACTTAGAAATACATCTTGTACTATACAACTATAGCTTGTCAACAATGTAATAAAATTATTAAAAAGAAGAAGAAGAAGAAGAAAGTTACTCTCTAGCGCCATTTCTCCATTATCAGGCTGGCAAACAATCAAATTTTCTACATCAACACCCAAAGATTTCGAGTATGCCGGGTCAAAAGCGTGCTCAGCATCAACAAGCATAGCGTTCCCTCCAAGCCTCTGCTTGGTTTCAACATTAAAGAATGTCAGATTTTACACTCCAATCGAACGTGGACACTAACCAGTATAACGAAGAGACACTAAATTCACTTATTATATTGGGTTTTCGAGTGACAAAATAAATGACACAAGTAAAAGTAAGCACATACTAGACCTGCACTTCGGCAATTGCATGGAGTGCTAGAGTCGTTTTCCCACTACTTTCTGGCCCATATACCTTACAAGGGAAAAAAAAAACACATTATCAAATCTCAGTGGTAAAAAATGCTGCATCGGGCAGAATACTAGTGCTTTTCGAATAGATAGCATGAAAATATATATATATATATATAACCTCAACAATTCTTCCTTTGGGAAGGCCGCCCCCTAAAGCAAAGTCCAACGTCAAGCAGCCACTTGGAAAGGTTTCACTACATAAACAAATACAGAGATAACAAAGCGACCAGAATGTTCACGGTATATAAGAAAACGAAATTTCTGAATCTCTATATACTGAGTAATACAAAACATATGCAGTAAGGTATCTGTAACCGAGAGCAGACAAGTAAATCGCCTGGCTATTACAAGCATTATTTATTCATTTATTTATTTTAGTTTCTTATTGTTCTTTAAGGGCCGGTTCATAAAATTTAATTGGAAATTAACAAAATACACCTACACCAAAGCTCCACCGGCACTTCCGAGCCTCGTAACACTTCCCTTCCCGAAAGAGCTATTTATATCGTTCATGGCAGCATCGAGCGCCTTTTGCTGTTGCAAGAAACAAGTTAATTCAGTTACAAGCATTCACCTGGACAACAATTACATTAAATAAACAAAAATTTGCAACAAAATTCAGACAGCAGATTGAATGCCCTAACTAAGCCCAAGTTTCAATTAACTCCACAAATTGTTGGCAGTCTCTATAATTGAAGAAATAGTCTACAAAACAGAGAACAAATATGTCTGGGAAGTATACTTGCTTACCCGGTCGACGAAACGAGAGTCGAAATCGGCGGAGAGAGCGCCGTTAACTTTGCCGTCAAATTCCGAGCGAACCCTAATTAATTTAGGCTTTATACGCGAAGAACAAGAGGCGTCGAGGAAACCTCGCACCAGCGACGAAGCATTTGAGAAGGCCGGCGAGCTGCAGTACTTGAATTTTGAAGATAAACACTGGGTTTTAAGCGGGAACGTTAAATCCATTTTTTCCCGTTTTAACGGTAAAATTTTGGTGCGAATATACCACTAGTGTGTGAACAAGTGAAGCAGAAAAGGCGAAGACGAAGGAAGAAGGTGCACACAGTGAAGAAGCGTTGGCGTGTATTTTCGTATCTTCTCTTGGAAGATGTTTGATTCCTATATTTTAATATTATATTTATATTAATATTAATATTTTTTTTTTAGTAAGCCCATTGGGCTATTATTATTGGTCTAGTAATAAATGGGCTCACGTGGACAAAGATGTATGAGTTAAAAATCGAAACGAAATTTTCGAATTCCATCGATTTCAATTTAAAAAAAAAAAAATTGGAAACTTTTTATTCATTTGGAGTTGGAATTTTTTCATTTCCGGTTTCTCCGATTTTTCTGGATTGGAATTGGAATATATATATGAGATTGTGTTTTATGTTTTAGTTTTTTACAAAATCAATTTTTTTTTTATAATTACACCTGAAGTTGCAATATTTTTTTTCATTTTACTGGTAAATAGAAAATTGTAATTTACGGTATTTGTCCGATTATTATTTTATATTCTGAAGCAATTTTTTTCATTCTATTTTTTTATTTTCTTTAATAAAATAGGATTTTCTTAACTTTTTCGTTTCCAAAAAAAAATATGTATATATATTTTTAAAATGTGTTAATTCCAATTCGATTCGTCAACGTCATAAATGCGATTTTATAGCTAGTGACAAGAAAATAAAAACATCAATTACAATTTTAAGAGAAAAGGCACAATATATAATCAAAGAGGAGTTGTTTGTGAAAATCAGGATTATTGGTGAGTTTGGTCATAAGTTGCTATCAAGAATATATCCCTTGCACCAGTAGAGATTACAAATGTGAAACTCAGATACTCAAATAATTGAGCATAATATTATCATAAACAAATGTCACGTCCTTGTCGTTTGGTATAGTTCGTATGGATAAATTCATTTCATTTAACTTCGGAGTACATATATATATAACGTAACAAATAATATTTCAAGATATACTTTGATCGATTCAAACTCCGATCCGTTCGCCGGGCTGATGGAGTATGTCAGTCTAGTGTTGCTTCCATTGGTCTTCAACTTTTCCGCCGGATTCTTAATCTGACGTCGTTCCTGTAATATTGGGATATATAGCCCCATAACATACATAAAATTTATTTCAAAATTAATATCTACTTAATATGATATTAATAAGATAGAAATATCGGTGTAGCGATCGATGTCAGACAAGCTCAAAAAGATCAAATCAGCGAATCGCGTCGATGAGATCACACGGAATTATTGTGTTCTTTTCTTCAATCTCATAATTGTATTATTAATTAGCTGTAGGTTTGGTTAGATGGATGAAAGTGATAGTCAAATAATTTTAACTAGCAACTCTAAAGTAAACTCTTTGATGTAATTATCTAGTGTTTGGCAACATGCATAAGCACAAGATCATCACGCAATTTGATTCAGTCATCTAACTATTTCACCTTCTTTGACATTCCACAGTTATATTAATATATAAAAAATAATATCTAGTTTCTTCTTCATTCCGATTAATCTTGCTCAAAATATATACAATAGAACCTCGATAAATTAATAATCTCGCTTAAATAATAATTTATTTCGGTTTCCGACTCGGTGAAAACTTGCTAAAGTATTAATTCAATAATTTAATATTTCGTTAAAAATATAATTTTATTAGTTCCGATTGTATTAATTTATAGGGGTTTAACTGCATGTATATGTATAAGTATTTCCAGTGCTCATAGTTTCTTAATTTGATTCTTACTATTGTACTAAAATTTAGTGTGAGTTATAAATTTACACTACCTACTACCTAGTACCTACATTGGGTCGTTCAGTCGTTGTTGTATCATTCATTTGCACGCTAATATGAATTTTACGTACGTTAAGTTTCACGTAATTAAACTTTGCTATCGTGTAATAGTCTGCAATTAATTAATTAACCACACGAAATGTGTTACGTTGTGCTCAAATTTCGCTTCAAAGCCGAAGGAGCGCTTAATTAATTAACAGGTTTAAGAAAATTACAGATGCATGTAATGTGCAATCGATCACAAACATGCACATAATAATCATGTGTAATCAAATTAATTTACACATATATATTTAAATCTTAATTCTAACCCTACACAGGCCACCAAATGTACGTCTGTACGTATATATTACAAACACAAACGATAACAGAAAATTATATATATATAAAGTACATACTATATATAGTTGACGGATAATATTGAATAACTGGCAAAATTAAACTGATATCCAAACAGAATTAATAATTAATTAATCCCAGGTGGTAATTAATTAATTAATTAATAATTCAAGAGTATTGGTTCCACATGGAAGAGAGATCGGCTTCAGACAGATAACTGTCGGAACTTCCTTCGCCGCCGAAGCTCGAGTTCGAGCCCTGAATCATGCTGCATTGTTCATTATTAATCCCACTTTCTACCTTCGTCAGACGTTTCAAAACATCTCTAATCACATTCTTATCATAGCAATTAGAAGCTGGGTCGTCGTTGTCCATCATAGCAAACGGCGGGTTGTACAGATCGCCAGGAAAGTTTGACGGCGTTATCACGTGATCCGGTGCTGTTAGTGGTGGTGGTGGGTCGTCGGCCGCCATTTGGGTGATGAGAGAGAAACTAGGATTAGGGTTTGTTTGGTTGGTGGTGTTGAAAATGGAGAAGCAGGGCACTTGCTCGTAATACTGATGAGTCTGGTTGAATGTGATGCTGTTGTACGGTGGTGGTGCTGCTGTTATTAACGGCGGCAGAGATGGTGGAACGACGTCGTAGCTGTAGGTGTAGCTGTTCTCTGTTGTGATTTCTAATTGTGTTTTCCCTCCTGGTATTTCTTGTCTGCTTTTGTAGAATACTCTGCACAGAACCCAGTCCTCCTGTATACATATATTATCCAAACATTAAATAATTAATCAGGATTATCACTTGTTTAATTAATCAAGATAATATATGTTAATATTTTTTGTGCGACGACACATTAATTGTTAAATTAATAAAACATCAAATAATGAACAATTATAATATATCTCACTAAGATTCACATAAATAATATACTACTAGCATTTTGGAATTAAAATGTTTTTTTATTTTTATTTTTTATTTCTGTCTTTTTCCTAAACTTTGTGGTGGGCAGAAACGACAAAACAAGGATTATTTTAATTTTAAGACTTTAATTAGCATATATCCAAATAACAAATTGTCGTCACACATTAAATACTATCCACAAAAGACAAAAAAATAAAAATAAGAATTTTTAATTAAAAAAAAAAAGATTTTCCCAAAAGTCTTTTCTAAATGAAAACAGCCTGTAAGTTGATGAAGCTGACGCCCATAATATTGACAACTTGAAGATATATATATATATATATATTATTAATTATTGGCCAATAAAAAATCACCAACTAGAATTGTGTGATTACTACTAGTCAAAGCTTAACCTGTCACCACAGTTAATAAATTAATAATCTCAATTAATTAATTAATTAACTAATTTTACCTTGGCGGGAGAAACGGGTTTCGGGGCGGCGGGTACACGGGTTCCTTCCATGCGAAACTCGTGCATGACCCATTCGGTTTTTCTTCCTTTCGGGGCCCGACCCACATAGAATACGAGCGTCTTCCGCATTCCAACGAGGCTCCCTTTTCGGATCACGTGTCGGTCTTTGCCGGTTGCCTTCCAATAACCCGATATTGTGGCCCGGTTCGTTCTCAGCCCGGTTGCATATTTCCTGTCCCTTTGGCAGTAAAAATACCATTCCTTGCCGCCCACACGTGCAGTCACTGCGTTATAAACAAGGACACAATTGTAATTTTGTCGACAATTTTTCACCAGATGTAACATCTATTATATATAATATCAGAAAAATAGTTTCGAAAATGTTACGGCTGCCTCGAGCACGTGGCCGAGCATATGTGGCCACACCAAGAAAACAAAAGGAGTTGCTAAATTTGGACCATATAGCACAATAATTAATCATATGTGGCCAAAGTGTCAAAATCTAAATTATGCAGAGTAGCCATCGGAATTTCTATTCAATAAAGATGCATACATGAACATTATGAAATTTAGGGCATCAATATTGGATGTTCATAATATTATTATTAATGAAGCCGGACAAATATGTACTTGTTTGATTTGATAGATAGAACTATCATGAATCGGTCCTCACCCTGAATTAATAATCAACTGTTGTTATTTTGACACGTGTATGGTTGAGATAATATGACTTTGATCTATATATATATTCTGTGTTATCTCCTATTTATGTGTCTATTTCTTTAGGTTAGGACAAGGCCAAGAGTGTCGAATTCTTCAAAAAGGTGGGTGAATGAGAAATTTAAATAGAGGGGTAATTGAGAAAGGAGGAAGAAATAATTATTATTATTTAAAAATATTAAAAATTATTAAATATGAATCCCACCCTTCATATGGTAGCATAGTAGTAGTAGTAAAAAGCACCACGCATGTATTGATATTTTGGACAAAACTTTTACCAGGCACGCAAGAATTAGATAAGCTTTGGTTTCGATATATACTAACAACTTATCTAGTATACTGTATATTACCGTAGATCTGCAAGCGATCGCAAACGAACATATATTAGGATGTGTTTACAAATATATACATACACATATACATATAGATATAGAGATAGATACGCGTGTACGAATGGAACTTCCACATGGTGTAGAATTGAATAAACTCATTTCATTGGTGGATTAAGCTTAGGATCAAAGATCGTAGTTTTGAAAGTCGAAAGTTAGAAATATACTAAATAAAAAGGAAAATGGCAATATAGACAGACATATATATAATTTTTAAATCTGTAAATACTACACACAATTAATGATCATATCAAAAAAAGCCAGTTTTTTTTTTTTTTTTTTTTTTTTTTTTTTTAATGCAAGAAAGAAAGATAATTCAGACAAGTATATTAAGATAAATGGCATATCTGTTATAAGGTGTAAATTGTTACCAGGAATATCCCAGGGCTCGCACTTATTAAGGTCAACTTCGATCAAGAGAGGAAACGGGTGGGCGCAACCCGAGATCCATTTCATCAAGTAGTCGCACACCAGTTCTTCATCTCTTGGGTGAAACCTAAATCCAGGCGGCAGCTTCGCCTCCACTGTGCTCAGGCTGCTCATCTTTTTTTTTTCCTACGGTGGTTGTTTGGCGGCTCTGCGGAGGAATTTAAGTCGTCCCTTGACAAAAGGAATATGTTTTGGATGGTTAAAAGAAGAAGACTAAATGGCAGCTCAGTTATATATATATATATACACACACACACACTAAAGAAATAGAGCATGGAAGTCAGAAATTCTTGATTCGCCAATTTAATATAAAATAATCTTTTATTTATTTATTTATATTTTCTCTTCAGTCTTTGTTTTTTGGGGAGTGGGGTCTGTACTCTGTATATAAAATATATATGTATGTATATAAAAACTGGGAAAGTCAACAAAGGAATTTCGTGCTATGTGTACGATGACGTGGAACCACAGTTGGGCTTCACCATCTGACGTGGATAGAAGTCATTTCAATTGAACAAAGTAAGATAAATCATCTATAGTTTTATACTGCAGGCCACAAGATATTTTTATGATTAGGTTATCAAATTGATAAACTAGACACTCTTAAATAAACTCTTAAATACCTTAAAAAAAAAAAAACTCTTAAATAAAGAGGAATGATATTGTAGTTTATTTTAATTTCAAATCCTCTTATACTCGATTCGTGTTTGGCACAATTAAAGCTCACCTAAACTCGACTCAGTTGTTATCAAAATAAACTAAAATACAATTTTAAAAGTCCGATAAAAACTCAAACAAACTTGAACTAACACACGTTCAATTCCATTAGATATATATATATATATATATATATATATATATATATATATATATATATATATATATATATATATATATATATATATATATATATATATATATATCGACACACACAAAAGGATTTATTTGGTGTAGATTTCACCTGTTGAGTTGAGCAGATTTGACCGCGGTTTAGGAGTTGGTACAAAATGTAAAGCTCCAAAGATAGTGGGTTCTTTTCTCACAAAGAGCCCCACTCACTGTACTTAAACATTATTGCTACGTCCACACCGTATTAATGGTGACAGTTTTGGAGGACTCGTTTGGGCACTAGATGAATTTCCCTGTTTACCCCTGGCCAAAGGATTCTCCTTAACTAAGCATCAATATAGCTGATTAGCCTGTGTCTAATCACAATAGGCTAACACTAATTATTTCTGTCAAGAAGAGTATCTTTGTTGTGCCCACAAATATTAGGTGTTTTTAGTGAGCAGGTTTTCAATTATATTAATATTGTCGCATTTTGAATAAAAACTATTGTTCCTGAGTGAGAACAACAAATACAAATGTCCAAATGTTCACATACAACACTATTGGCTCTGACAGACTTTAGCAGAGTCGGAATTTTAAGTTTATGGAGATCGAGTGCATTAAAAAAATTCTGAAGGGGAGCGTAAGTGCAATAGTGGAGACAATTTTTTGAGAAATCCTAGGGGGGCATGGCCCCTATGCTGCCTCTGCCTCTGTTACTGCTGATAGAACGAATTTATATTTTATAATATAAAATGAAGGCAGGTACAGGGAAGTACGACGACTTTCCCAAGTTTTACAATCTCGTATTTTAGTAGATAAAATATTTAAAAATATATTCCTATCTAATTAATAATTCACATAAGAAACAAGATTCAGCGTATGCAATATTATGATTAGTGACCAGTATCAATTTAAGTTTATTTAATGATTGAAAAAAACACAACAAGCAGCCTCTTAATATATTATTAATTAACGGAACCGCCTCTGAACTTCATTAACCCAAGTTGTATGTTCAACAACCAGCAAAAACATAGAAAAATTAAAATAGATAACTATCAAGTCTATATCCAAATAAATGAAATTGAATTACCAAGTCTTCCCTGCTCGAAAAGACGATACGGAACGAGTTTTCAATTTATCAGTATACATATTTCATTTTTAATTATTTCATTCAGAATGA